GCTTTTTCACAGTGGCCAATGAGGATGAAGTTTTAACGGGCTCAAGCAGATCTGAAAGGACTAGTTTTTCTCCTGATCCTGTAGAAAGGCCAAACTTTCTGGTCAGACTGAGAAGTGAGGCAAAATCTTACTATCACATTGGGATATGCCTCCACAGAAAATGCTGGTAGACAGGCCAATGTGCAGGGAAGCGGCACTCTGACTTCCATCGATAGCCACAGTGACAGCGTCACTTTGCAACATTCCCAAACGTGTTGCAAGAAGAGAATGATTTATTTTATAAAGTCATTTCCTTTTCTGCCCACCTTTCTGCTTCCACTCGTGACCCAAAGCAATTTGTTCTTCACACAGCAGCCAAAGTGGTACTGTGAAAATGTAAATCACACCATGTCATGATCCTGATAGCTCCTCGCTATACCTGGAGCCATATCCATCTGAAGGACACAATCCTATGGGACCTGGTTCCCGTCTGCCTCTAACCCCAAGTCACCGCCCATCTCCACGAATGTTCCAGTCACATTGGCCTTCTAGTCTTCAAACATGCTGAGTGTATTTTTTCCTTAGAACCTTTGTATTAGCTGCCCCCTCACCTGGAATGTCTCACCCTATCTTTGCATGGTTGACTTTTCTTGTCATTCAGATCTCAGCTTAAATGTCTCTTCAGAGATCTTTCACCACCAGTTGATCTCAAGTAGCCAGTCACTTCTATTGCATTATCCCCCCATTAGAATTCAAGCCCCGCAACCTCATGTCTTATTTTTGACTGTAGCCCCAATATCTAAACAGTTCCTGATATGGATAGATCGAAGTGGTACAAGTATTTGCTGAGTAAACCTGGAATGCCATTTTAACATGTTTCTGGGCAGTTAACAATAGTGGTTACTAGAAATGTGTAATTTATTCAAAGTGCCCGAGTTGTAAATATGGTGAAAAAGACTTGCCATCTAGACTTGGTAGCAGGTTAAAACCTCAACTCTCTTATTTACCAGGTCATGTATTTTCAATAGAGGTGATCTCACTCCCCCACCCAGGGAGAGAAAGCGGGGGTGGGGGGGTGGGCGGGAATCTTAGATATTATAAAATATTGTGTTCCTCCAAAGCTTAATGAAATCTTATTCCCCAGTATTTTATTTGGGCGGGAGGGGGCAGCTATTTTAGATAGCTACTGGATAAATTGCTCTAATGGCTGATATTGTAAGTAAACTGACTTCCCTGAGCTCCAGCTGTTGAGATTATTTGCCTGTCCAAACTCAAAACATGCTGAGCACTGAAAAAAAAAAAAAAAAAAAAATCACGAACATTAAAAAGAACGATACAAATATCAAGTATGACTAAGCTAGTGGGGTAAAGCTGTCTTTATTCATGTCCCTCTCTCCCAGAAGCAATTCATCAAGCTCAGTAGAAGACTCTGACCATAGTCTTCTAGGCCTTCTTCTAAAAATGCAAGAATCTCAAGGGCATACAACTACCCTTCTGCCCCCACTCACCTGTTAATTATTTATGGCAGGCTCTATTAATCACACCAAAAACAGTCTCTAGGGGGTGAAGTGACCATTATGATTTTGGAACTCCACAGACAGCATGCATTGACAGCTTTCTCTGATCAACTTACCTTCAGAACTGACATTGAACTCCGACACCTTCAGACTAGCCTCAGATCTCTCTGCCACTTTCCACCTGAAATCAGGCAAAACAGAACATGGTAGGAATGAACACATTTTACGGGGGAAACAAACACTTGTTTTCACACAAGACTTTGGTTTCACATATTTCTCTTCTAGAGTCAGGTTTTGTCACAAAGCAAAACCTAACTCAAATGTGGTAGTCTAACTATCTCTTAATGTAGACCCAATACCACGAAAACATAAGGCAATACAAGATGGGCAGAGTGGAACAGCTATTGGACTAGAATCCCAAGCCTGCCACTTATGAGCTGAGTGACACTGGGGGCAAGTTAATTAACTTTTCTAATGGGGAGAAGTAATACCTACTTAATGCTTCAAGACTTTTAAGTGTGGATTAAAAATTCAAACACAAAGGTCACATACAATTACAGTAACAATTATATGATGCTTATTATATGCTGGGTATTGGTTAAAGATCACTACTTTATTAACTCATTTAAATGTCCCAACAACTCTATGAGGTAAGCGCTATTACTCACCTTCTTTCTTAGTTGAAAAAATAGAGGGGCAAAGGATAAAAATTTGTATGTGCTCTTAATGATGTTAACACTTTGTCTTTATTGTCTTACACACATTAAATGTTAGCTGCAGATAAATCTTATGGAATCAGCTAGTTATAATCTGTCTAAACCGAAGGGAGTGTTACCTGTTCTTTCCATCAAGAGAAGTGATTGCTTCCAGAAGCTTTTGGTGCTTTCTCTCTCCATCGCTGTCCCCCTAGACACAGGGAAGGAAAAACAGTCAGAATGATGAAAGGAGAGGAAAGATAGTCTGTAAATTGAGGCCCACATAAAATCTGTCCTTTGTAGGGAACTGGAGGATGAGAAGGGGTCTGGTGTGCAGGCATTCCAGCTCAATTGAAAAGAACTGCTTCAGGGCCTCCCCCGTGGCGCAGCGGTTGAGCGCTGGGTTGCGAAGCTGCCCGCAGCCTCTGCAGTGCCGGTTCGATCCCCAGCTGCTCCCCGGCCACCAGAGGAGGGTCCCACATGGCGCGCAGACCTCTCCTGCCGCCCGCTGCTCCCCTCAGCAGTGTACTTCGGTCCTTCTGCCTGCTCTGCTCCCCGCTCTGGCTCTGGTGAATTCTCTCACCCTCCCGCGATTCCGACTGTACCCAGTGCTTGTATAAATAAATAAATAAATGTTTAAAAAAAAAAAGAACTGCTTCAAAAATCCAATTCCCTTATTATAAGGAACATAGAGCCTTAGTAACTAGAAGCTAAAATCATTCTGGTTTTAACTTACTTTGGCAAGAAAAGTGCTGTGAGAGTAATATTTCTGTATAGAAGATATGTGATCCGACACAGAAACTGACAAAAACAAAAAACAAACCCTGACATAGTTTTGTCAAGGGAATAAAGAGTTGAATTCGACAGCATCTAACAGAGATCCAGTTTAATTATGTATATTTCAATAGGATAATTCACTAAGTCTCTTTAAATTCCCACAGTCCTTAATACATTACCTTATACATGGAACCCTACATAACTGCTTATAATTTACTTGAGAAACTGGAGAAAATAATAACAATGTTCCCATCCTTTCCATTTGCCCTCTGCCTCAATTTTCAGGCAGAAGGGAAATTCGAAGAGGCAGCTTAGCAGCTGTTACCCACCTCATCTTCACTGGTGCTCAAGGGATCATCTTTTGGCAAATCTTCTAGTTCCTCCTGTTGGCTTAAAGCCAGAAGGCTGTTATAAAGGAGATAAAACAGAAATATTATCACTTGAAGAAACTTTTCTTCTATTAAAACAATCTCTATAGCATAACTAGAGTTCTTAGCCCAGAATAGTCCTATTCCCTGGAAGAGGGGCCAACCACACAGTGGAAGCAACTTTGGAAATCAGTCAAGATATATTTAGACTGCAGAAGTCAGGCAGCACTTTCAGAAGGTAAGCAGCAACAACTACGGGAGTGGGGGGAATCTAACACTCTTCAGTGATTGGCACTGCATTTTCCACTGACCTCTGGGAGGCTGTAAAAATCATCAGGCCCTATGTAAGATGGTAGAAGGCCCTGTTGCTGGCCCTTCAGGCAAGACTGTCACTATTAATATTTCTAAGCATCTTCCACATGGAAGACGCCTTTCCAGGCGCAGCTTACTCAAAAGTAACATTTGATCGCTCGTTCCCAGGAACCAGGGAATTCGACGAAATCAGCTGAGTAAGTAATTTTTCCTGGGGCTTTCTCGGCAAAGTAGGTGCTTAACTAAGGAGACTGGTACCCAGAAACAAATCAGACTCTACTATCAATTTCTGCAAGGCAACCATTACTAAACAGACTGGGAGGCATTAAACACCAGCGGAAAGAAAACATCTTGGATGACTCCAATCAGCAAAGGTTTCCAAGACAAGAGGAGTTTATAACACATGCACTGTCTGCACAGAGGGCGGAGACGCGCAGCGGCAGCAGAGGGGTCACGTGATGAGGAAAGTGCTACATTAACTTAGCTGGAGAGGGAAAGGCTGCAAGAAAACTAACAGGGAGAAGGCATAAAAAGCTGGGGAGCCGAGAAAGTGACTTAAGTTAAATTAAGAGGATTTTAAAGGCTGGATCGCGGAAATAGTAACGAATGGCGAGAGCTGGGGAGGGGAACGATCGTCGTCTGATAATAGACGGCTTCCATTTCACAAAGGCCGGGGGACCAGGTCCCCAGCGAGACCCCGCTCCCCACTCACCTCTTAGCAGCCCGGATCGCGCTCATCTCACCAACCGGTCTCTCACATGGGTCAGGAGCGGAAGCCAAAAGGAAAGCAATTTCCGTGCCGGCCGCAAAGCAATTTCTGCTTCCGCCAATCATGCGCGACGCATTGCGTCACTTCCGCTCCGCCCCCGAGCGTGCGAGAGACCGGACACGCGCCGGAGGAGGGGCCTGTGGGAAACGGGGAGACCTGAGCGAAGCCTGTCAACGGGCGGAGCTCTGCTGTCCCCGCCTACCGCTCGGCTTTGGGGGCGCGGGTGACTGTCCTCCCCGCCCCAAGTTTCCACGTGGCCCTAGGTGGCCGAGCTTAGGGCGCAGGTGCTGCTTGGCGGGGGTCGCGGCCAGAGCCTTCGCTGCCCCGCCGCCTCCGAAAAGAAAGCCCCCCGCGCCTGTCTGTGTCCCTCCGCGTCCTGCCAGCTCGCCACCGGCCGGCCCGAGGCTTTACTGAACGCCTGTGAAGTGGCCAGCCGCGAACAAAGCACGTTTCCTTCCTTTCCAGGGAAAAGCCGCCTGTGTTCCGTGCCACTGCAGCTCCAGGTTCCTCCTTCACTGTGGGACAAAGTTTCGGCCAAGAATGGGCTGTGTCAGCGGCTGCAAGTTCCTCACCTCCCGTCGACCTTTAAGGAATTGTTTTAATTGCAAAAACATAGAAAAGTAATACACAAAACATTCGTCGCATTTATCCTTTTAAGCCACGTCCCTTTAGCTTGCGCCCCACCCTTCCACTGAAACTGTTCAGGATTAGATTGTCAGTGACCCCCACCAAGTTGCTAAATCAAATGGACACTTCTCAGTCTTTGTCTTCCCAGAACTTTGTGTGGGGTTTTATACAGCCCTTTGTTTTCCTGTTCATATCCAGGATGTCTATTTGATCATCTGTGTCAGGCCTCTGCGCGCTGGTGTACATTGGTGAACAAAACAGACACGTGCCATGGCCTCATGGAGCTTGCTTTCTAGTGGGATAAAAGACAATTTTGTCTTGTTGAAACTCCATCCTGGGCTTCCCTGACACTACTCTTCTCTGGTATCTTAACTTCATGGTCATCTTCCTCAGTCTTCTCTGCCGGATGCCTTTTCTGTACTTACTCCATAAGTGATGTTTCCCTGATCTTGTCCTTAGCCCTAGCCTTGCTTATTACACCTGCTCTTCCTAACACTTGGACGAGAACTCCCCAATCAACATCTCTAATCCAGAACTGTTTTTTGAGCCCCAGACTTGTACCGCTGATTGTCTCTAGGCAATCCTTTTTGTCCAACAGTCACATCAAAATGAAGTGTCCAATAATTTATTTTTTTTCCACCAGGGTTCATCTGTATTGTCCATCTCTATGACTAGCACCATCAACTACCCACTTAGGTAAGTGAGACAACTTCGAGTCAGCTTAGATTCCTCTCTCTTATGCCTCACAGTTGTCCTGTCACATTGTCAGGTTTGCTTCCTGAATCTCTCTCTGCACTTTCCCATCATTATTGCCATGGAGGCAGACCCCTGCAAACCTGTGGTATCATCACAATGTTACTGGAAAGGGGAATATGGATAGGCTATGGATGAAAAGCATGAGTTTTAACAGGACCCTCTGGGTTTGAATCTTTGCTGCTTACTAGCTTTGCAATTCTTGAGTGAGTCACTTAGCTTCTCTGCACCCTTTTCCCCTCGTCTTTAAAATGAGGATGCTATTAGTACATTGGGTAGCTGTGAAAACGGAATAAATTGATATACATAAACCGCTAGCATAAATGGAAAGCTGCTAGATGAATGCCTGTCACACATTAAATGCGCAAGAAATATTAGCTGTAATAGTTCTTTTCACTGGCTTTTCAGTCTTTAATTTCTCTTCATCCAAACACCACGTCACACCCCTAAAAGATGCAACTAGATCTGAATCATCTTCAAGATACAAAATTAAAAAAAAACTTTCATTCTTGCCTAGCTCTCCAACTTCTTGTAATTGCCACTTCCTCCAAGACACTCCAAGTTTTATTTTTATGGACAGCTGATGTTCTAATGTTATATAAAATTTGAACACAAATATTTAAAATAAACATTGACTTTTTTGATCTACACTTAATCTCAGTGAAGACAATGTGTTTTTTTATGCAAATGCAGCTTTGAAATGAGTTCCTCCACGTACTCCTTTCCAGCTCTGGGAGGATTGCGGCCCTGTGTTCCTCTTCTGAAGAACTATGGACAGTAAGTGCAGTACTTCAGCTGTATTAATAAAGTAGGAGAAGTCAGCATTGGGAAGAACTGGGGTTTGTAAGAATATTCTAGACCAAGGAAGCAATGTGTACACAGGTCTTCTGAGTTGGTTGGGAAGAACCTGTTACATTTTAGCAACTGAAAAATCAGCTGTTAGTGAATGAGGTCACAAGAAGGTAGATATGACAGAGGATGGAGAAATGGCCAGGGGTCAGGTCTTGTGAGGCCTTGCAGGCCATGGTAGAGTTTGAATTTTACTCTACATAAAATGGGCCACTAATACAGGGGCCATGTAGGAGAATGGAATTAACTAAATTTTAATAAAATCACATTATTGTGTAGAGAATGGATTCAAGTGGGGTTCGAGTGGAAGCAGAGAGACCTGTCAGAAGCTATTGTATAATTCAGCAAGACAGTAATAGTTTGGAACAGGGTGGTAGCTGTGGAGATAGAGGTTTTGATGGGTCCATCAGAGGAATGTGGGAGGCTAGGGAAGGAAATTTATATCTATATTACTGACTTGAATAAATGAGTGGTGGTAGACTGTTTATTGAGATGCAGAAAACGAGTGATGAAAGGAACAGATTTGAGGAGTGAGACCAACAATTCAGTTTTGTATTTTTGAGATTTGAGAGCAAGTGGAGATATCAAGTATGTAGTTGGCTATCTGAGTTGTGAAAACAATTAGTTCAGAACCTTTGATCTTGATTAGTGCTATTAGTGATGATTAGCAAACAAAAATATATGTCCCCCTCAAGTATGCTTATATTTCAACTGATTTGCATATCACAAAAAGGACCCAGGCTCAGCAAAAACTTGCCATAGGGCAACAATTGTGATTTTACCATAAATTCATGACATTGTATGCTCTACAACATTAACCTAGTCCTTCAACATAGTAGGTACTCAATAATGTGTTTTTGAATTAGTGATTAAAGTCATAATGGTTCCATGCTATTTATTCTCATTAAAGATACATAATAATTATTATTTATACAAAATTTTAACATTTACAGAGTGCTCACTATAGGCTGAATGTTTGTGTCTATCCGACACCACTACCCACCCCCCACAATTTATATGCTGAAATTCCAATCCTCAAGGTGGTAGTATTAGGCCTTTGGGAGGTGATTAGATCATGAGGGAGGAGCCCTTAAGAATGATTAATGGTGTCATAATAGAGACCCTAGAAGGCTTCCTTTGCCCCTTCCACTTTATGAGGACACAGCAAGAAAGTCTCGGCTATGCATCCCCAACTCTGCTGGCACCTTGATCTTGGACTACCAACTCTGGAATGTGGAGAAATAAAAGTCCATTGTTTGTAAGTCATGTAATCTATGGTATTTTGTTAAGGCAGCCTGAACAGACTAAGAGGATGTTTTTACATCCATTATGCCATTTTATTAAATTTTTATTTTGAAATAGTTGTAGATACATACAATGGAAGAAATAATATAAAGAGATCCTATGTATCCTTTATGTACTTTAATGGTAACATCTTGAAAAACTCAAATATTAAGACCAGTATATTGATGTTGTCATAGTCAAGGTACAGAAAAATTTTATCACCCTAAGGATCAGTCCTGTTGGCCATGTGCTTCCTGCCCTGCCTCCTCCTAAACTCTATTTCTGTAATTTTGTCATTTCAAGAAACGTTACATAAAACAAAACAAGAATGTTGTCTAAATAAAGCCATATACATATAACATGTTTGAAACAGAAAAATCAACAAGCAAAGATCTATGGTAGTGATCTGCCAACCTATTTTCCAATGTCATTGCACCATTTTCCCTGCCAACCAGCATGTATGAAGCTTCCAGTTTCTTCACATCCTGGTCCAAACTTGTTGTTGTCTGTCTTTTTGGTTATAGTTATTCTGGTGGGTGTGAAATATTCTCTCAGTGTAATTTTGATTCATATTTCCCTGATGACTAATGATGTTGAGGATCTTTTTATGGCTTAATTTGTCCGTTGCATATCTTCTTTGGAGAAATGTCTCCTTAACTTTTTGAATACATAGTTACACTAACTTCAAATGCTCTTGGTTTGCTAATTTGTTAGACCCCTATTCTGGGTCAATTTTGATCGATTGATCTCATTATGATGATATGTTCCTGCTTCTTTGTATGCCTGGAATGTTTTTTCTTTTACTTTTAACTTAAAAAAAAAAAGTGAGCTTAAAAAAAAAGTTAATGGCATGTATAATTTGCATACCATAAAATTTACCCAGTGTAAATGACCAATTCAGTGATCTTTAGTAAATGTACTGAGTGTGCAACCACCATGTTATAATTTTATAACATTTCTATTATCCTAGTAAGATCTATTATGCTCTTTATAGTTAAGTCCTTTTCCCACCCCCAGCTTCAGGAAACCTTTAATCTACTGTCTGTCTCTATAGTTTTGATTTTTCTGTGCAGTTCATATCAATGGAATAATAAAATCGGTGGTCTTTTATATTCAACTTCTTGCACTTAGCATAATGCTTTTGAGCTCTATGTTGTAGCATATACCAATATTTCATTCATTTTATTGTTGAATAGAATTCCGTTGTATGGACATACCATATCTTATTTACTTATTCACCAGATTATGAGCATTTTATTTGTTTCCACCTTTGGATATTGCTGCACTGAAAACTGAATGAAAATGTTTGGGGGACATATAGGTTCATTTCATTTTATAGGGTGGATACCTGGGGAGAATCATTTAATTATATGGTAAATTTGTATTTGACTTTGAAAACTCTGCCAAAATGTTTTCCAAAGTGACTGTATCATTTTGCATTTCTACTAGCAGTATATGAGGATTCTTATTTCTCAACATTCTTGTCAATATCTGTTATTGTCTATCTTTTTTTATTATGGCTTTCTAAGAGATTAATAGTGGTATCTCTTTGTGATTTTAATTTGCATTTCCCTCAAGATTAATGATGATGAGTTTATTAGCTAGCAATATATCTTCTTTGGTAAAATGTCTGCTCAATCTTTTCCTGTATTTGTCTTATTATTGAGTTTTGAGAGTTTTTTATTTTGGATACAAATCTTTTGTCAGATATGTGATTTGCAAGTGTTTTCTCCAAGTGTGTGGCTTGCCATTTTATTTTCTTATTGGTTTTTTAAAGTATATATTTTGAATTTTGATAAAGTTTAATTTACCAATTTTGTCTTTTATGAATTGTGCTTTTGGTATCTAAGAAATCTCTGCCTTTTCCAAGGTCACAAAGATTTTTTTCCTGTGTTTACTTCTAAATGTTATATAGTTTGGCTTTTATTTTAGCTTTGATGCATTTTGAGTTTATTTTTTGTGTATGGTGTGGGATAAAGGTCTAAATTCATCTTTTTGTTTGTGGATATCCAATTGTCCTAGCACCATTTGCTGAAAAGACTGTTATTTCCAATTGATTGCCTTGGCATCTTTGTCAGAAATCAATTGACCATAATATAAAGGTTCGTTTGTGGACTTTCCATTCTGTTCCATTGATCTATATTTCTGTCTTTATGTCATTATCATGTCATCTTGGTAACTGTGAGTTTATAGTAAGTTTTGAAATATGGAAGCAAAACTTCTCCAATCAACTTTTTATTTATTTTTTATTCATTTTATTTTTTAAAAAGAATTTATTTATGCATAGAAAAACTGGGGTGTAGGCCAGAGGTACAGGGGCGGGGTGAGAGGATTCATCAGAGACAGAGTGGGGAGCAGAATTGGCAGAGCCACTGAAATACACCGTTGAGGGGAGTAGCGGGCAAGACAGGAGCAGTCTGCCATGTCATGAGGGCCAGTTCCCTGGCTGGGAATTGAACTCACGCTGCAGTGGCTGGCGATAGCTTGATAGCGCTGTGCCTTCAACCCCTGCGCCACCAGGGAGGCCCCCAATCGACTCCTTAAAGTTGTTTTGGTTATTCTGTGTTCTTTGTGTTTCTTTGAGCATTTTAGGATCAGCTTGTCAATTTCTGGGGGGAAAAAAAGCCTGCTGTAATTATTATATGTTATTTAATTTATAGATCAGTTTGGTGATACTGCCATCTTAACAATACCAAGTCTTTCAATTCAAAATATGGAATTTCTCTCCATATATATATATATATATATATATCTTTAATTTTGCTAAACAGTGTTTTCATAGTTTTTATATATAAGACATAGACTTTTTTGCTAAATTTATTTCTAAGTATTTTATTCTTTTTGATGTTGTCTTTATTATTTCATTTTTCACAGCTTGTATATACACACAGTTTATTTTTATATTTATCTTACACCCTTGCTAAATTCACTTATTAGTCTAGTAGTTTTTTGTGTGTGGATTCCATCTGACTTTTTATATTGATAATCATCATGTACCAAAAACCAAAACAGCTTCACTTCTTCCTTTCAAATCAGGATGTTTTTTATTTCTTTTCCTTTCCTGATTTCACTGGCTTAGAGCTTTCACTGCAGTATTTAATGCAACTGACCAGATGGACATCTTTGATTTGTTACCAGTCTTGGGGGAGAGCATTTACTATTTCATCAATGATGCTATAAAGATGATATAATGTGAACTATAGAATACTTTTATGCCCTTAATCAGCTTGTGAGATTTGCTTTCTATTCTGAGTTTGTTTGAGACTTTTTTTAAATCATGGTAAAATATCCATAAATTTTACCATTTTAATCATTTTACGTGTACAGTTCAGTGGCATTAAGTACATTCACATTGCTGTTGACCATCACCAGCACCATTTCCAGGACTTTTCATCTTCTGCAGCTGATGCTCTGTACCTTTAACCACTAACTCCAGGCCCTGACAACTGCAATTCTAGTTGTGTCTCTCTGGGTTTGACTGCTGCAGGTACCTCATATAAGTGGAATGTAGTATTCATTCTTTTGTGACTGGCTTGTTTCATTTAGCATGTCTTTAGATTTTTCTATATCATAGCATAGTCAGAATTGCCTTCCCTTTTAAGCTGAATAACATTGCAGTGTAGGTATAGACCATATTTTGTTTATCTGTTCATTTGTTAATAGACAATTGGGATGGTGCCTGTTTTAATCTATTTGGGCTGCTATAACAAAATCCCATAGAGTATATAGCTTATAAACAAGAGAAATCTATTTCTCATATTTCTGGAGGCTAGAAGTCCATGATCAAGATGCCAGTATGGTTGGGTGAAGGCCCTCTTCCTGGCCCTTATATGGTAGATGGGGCTCTGGAGCTCTGTGGGATCTCTTTTATAACAGTACTGATCCTATTCATGAAGGTTCCACCCTTATGACCTAATAATCTCCCAAAGACCGTCACCTACTTATAGGTAGGGCCCATTAACTTTAGTAGTTAGAATTTAAGCATTAATTGTTGGGAGGAGGGGTGTGGCTACCAACATTCAGACCAGAGCACCACCTTTTGGCTATTTTGTGTAATGCTGCTATAAACATGGGTGCACAAACACCTGTTGATTATCCTACTTTCAATTTTTTGGGGTATATACCCAGAAATGGAATTGCTGCTGGATTATACAGTAATTCTATGTTTAACGTTTTGAGGAACCGCCATATCATTTTCCACAGTGGCTGCACCCATTTACATTCTCACCAGCAACGCACAAGTGTTCTAATTTCTCCACATCCTCACCAGCACTCATTGTCCTCCCTCTTCCTCATTTTCCTCCTCCTTTTCCTCCTCCTCCTCTTTCTCTCTACCTCTGTCTCTCCCTCTATCCCCCCCAACCTCCTACTGGGTCTGAAGCCCACACCAAAGAGCAAAGAGAGGCCTACTTTGATGACACCATGTTGGTGTGAATCTGATCAACCAATCCACTATTGCTGAAGTCATCAGTGGGCTCTTGGGGTGCCTACTTGAAATTAAGGCATTGGACTGCCCTTTAGAGGTATTTCCTGGCAAAGAGTGCCAGCATTGGTCCCCAGTAAGCTATGAAGTTTGCTGGCTATGTGAGTGCCCCTTCACAGGAAAACATCATTTCAAAGACCGATCTCTTTGTTGTTGCTTGCTTTGCTGTTGTCACAATTTGTACCCCGACCAAGTGGGCTGCAAGGGATCTTGTCTTTGGAAACCTACAGCTTAATGTTTTATTTAAGAAATAGGGGAGGGAGATGGAACATTTTAATCCTGCTCCACCTAAAACACCTGACTAGAGTCTCAGCTTCTTGAGATCACAAATCTCCATTCGGTGTGCTTGGAACTCTTAAATGCAGCTGCCCATAGACATGCGAAGAGTCTCCTTCTTCAAACCAAGTTGTCACAAAACAAGAAAGTGCAAGGGATAAGCTGTGGCCACTGTTGCTGTCCTAGATACTGACCCTAATGTCTCTGAAGTTGATTGGGAAACCGTAGAAAGGGAGGCCACCTCTCATAGCAGAGGTCCCTGGGAACCACTGGGAGCTTGTCAGGTAAGCATCCAAAAGAAAAAAAGGGAAATGTTTAGTCACCTAGAAATGCAGCCCAGTCTAAAACAAAACAAACAAAAAACCTAAGGAAAAAAAATGGGTCAGTCCTAGGTAAAGGCTTTCTAGAGGCACAGAGATCCTGTTCCTCTTCCTTCTTTCCTTCTTATCAATCAGAGACAAAAACTAAGTCTAAAACAGAGAGGAAAACAAGAAAATGAAAAAAAATTGCTGTCACTTTCAGTGGCTACAAGTCCAAGGATAAAAGGGAACTTTAAACATTATATACTAAGCAAATCTCAGGTCTAACTAACAAATAAAATGTTAGCCCTAGACTACTTATTGATTTTATTTTATTTATTTTTTCAGAAAGCTCTTTTTTTTTTTAAAAAAAAAAGATTTTATTTATTATGCATACAAGAACTGGGGTACAGGCCAGATGCGTGGGAGGGTGAGAGGATTCACCAGAGACAGAGCGGGGAACAGAACAGGCAGAGTGACTGAAATACACTGCTGAGGGGAGCAGCGGGCAAGACAGGAGAGGTCTGCCGCACCATGTGGGTTGCTCCCTGGCCAGCCAGGGATGGAACTCATGCTGCTGAGGCTGGCAATAGAACTTGTGCTGCAGTGGCTGGCGATTGCTTGATAGCGCTGTCTTTAACCCTTGCGCCACCAGGGAGGCCCCTTTTCAAATTTCTTATAAGGGAGATCTGATATTAATTAATTACTTGGGGGTTGTGTTTTAATAATTATTTAGTAAGTACGGTGTAACTGCAGAGCAAATCCAAGGCATTAGTAAGATAGGTATTTCCAACTCTGTAACTGATGGAAGTGAGGCAATGAAAAGTGACTCAAAGTGAAGCTTTTGAAGTGGCAAAGTTGATGTCAGAACACAGGTCTTGAATTCCCCATTTCAGTCCTTTATACTACCCCACCAAGGTTCCATCACTCTGTTTAAGACTTACATTTTCTAACATCAGGAAAGTGTTCCAAAGTGACTTCTGCAGGACTAAAGTGTGATAGAACCCCCAAGATGGTCAACTAATATACCATTGCAGTGGTTGAGATAATTTTATTTATTTATTTATTTTTATTTTTATATTTAAACAATATTTGCTTTGAGATAATTTTAAATGTTCCTCAACTTAATCCCTACAATGGCTTATCTGTGTAAGATAGAAACAAATTTATTCATTCTTCAGTAATGATCTGTGATGATTAACTTATTACTAATATGCAAATGATCAATTTGCTGCTAATACTAAGAAAGATAGTATAAAGTCCAATAATTTCACTTATTAAGTTGGACAAATAAATTATATGTATGTTCCGGGCCGATGTGACAGTTCCAAAAATAGTCTAAATGTGAATAAGAGAATGCAATACATTTTATAAATTTCTTAAAAGAGCCACTGTCCTATTCTCTTTCTATATCCATTTCTAGACCTGAGTACTATGGACACTTGCAAAGTTTTGTGCAAAGGTCATCATTATAAATTAATAAACATCACAAAATGACTTAAATCACCACGTGCTAAGCGGCAGTAACTTGTCTTTGAATAAGTATTGTTTTTCTAGAATGATAAGAAACTGTAAAAGTGGCACAGTTTTGCTTCCGTCATTTTACAGGTGTGGGAAATAAAGATGAGGTGAAGGCATATGCCCAAGATATCACAAATTCATGGCAAAAAGGATTTATAACCAAGCTGAATCCTGATTGAAGGTTATTTCCATAATACCATGTTGTTCCAAGTGCAAGTTTAAAATACATTTAATTTGCAGTTTTCTTTAAACTTTGGGTTTAAAAAAAATGAATGTGATATAGCCTAAAATAGAAAAACATTTCGATGAACTCACAATTTCAGCTAACAACCAATTAGAAACCAATATGGTAGCAATGTTGCTATCAAAGTGTCAGAGGAGCCCACTCCCCACCAACCTCCCCACCCCAGCACTCCCCATCCAGACCCACCACCCCAGCACTCCCCCACCCCCAGTCTCCCACCCTGACTCCCAACCTCTCCCCCTCCCCCATCCTCTCACCCCTTCTACCACCTTCTGCTCCCCACCCTTAGCCCCTCCACCCCACCCCCACCCTCCTTCACCCCCTACCCTACCTCCTTCACCTTCACCCACCACCCCTCCACCCCCTCCACCCCCTCCACCACCTCTCCACTCTCCCACCCCCACCCACTCCATTCACCCCACCCCCAACCTGCAACTGATGGCTGCCCATCCTCTGTACAGGTCAGGTTGGACTGAATGGTGCAGTTTCACTTTTGAAACCACCGTGGCATTGTTTTCAATATATAAGCCCAGGACATAAGCCAGACTTCCGGCAACTGTAAGAGACAGGCTGTCTTCTGGAAAGGCCTTAGCAGATCTTCACAGACCTTCGAGAACTTCATGTCTGATCTGTGCTTAAAACCACCGCCTGTCTGCTGCTCCTGCCTCTGGCCCTGCCCCCGACATCACTTGCTGATGGGTGCTGACAGGTGCCACAGGCCTATGCCCCACACCTATCAGGAGATATCATTGGCCCGTGCCCAGCGTCTAAGAGCTCTAACACTGGTACCTCATGCTGACACTTTCCTGTCTCCCAATTTCTTCATCTCTCTCAAGCTGTTGTATGAAAGTCCTGTTACTTGTGCACCCTGAGCCTGAGTCGTGTCCTGCAATTGTAGTTTCTAGTGTAGGGGTAAGGACCCATTGACAGTGACCCATGTCACTGTCACACACCCCCCCACCAGCTTTACATAGTTTCAAGAGTAGATTAGGGGGGTATTATTAAAAGCAAGTACAGAGAGGTCAATCTTCAGGTTTTCTAGGATATTTTATGAATCATAAACACTATTACTAGATATTTTAGTGTCACTAAAGCTACTTTCTAAAGCAATTTTTGAAACTAAATGAAATGACTAAGAAATTTCGGCACAAAAAAAGAAACAAACTTCTGGAAAAGAGCAAAAGAATTTTAATAACTCTGATCTATTTCATTCCCTGAAAAATGTGTTGCACATTAACTTCACAAGTTGAATATTACAGACAAAAGGGGAAAAAACAGAAATCCCGCCATTTCTGGAATCATGGCTGAAGTTTAGGAAGTTGGTTTGCCTTTGTAACCTTTTTTGCTGGTTCTTTCTTCCCATTTAAGATCTTTTGATTAGGTGGATTGTATTTTCCTGTTTTCATCACATTATCTTTCATTCTTTGCATTCGATCCATCTGCTGCCTCTTAGGAGGAGAGGCGTATGGGCTAGAGAGCCGGTATAATTCATGTAGGTATACACGGCGTTCATCATCTATTTTCTTGTAAGCCTTTGCTTCTTTTTCCAGTTTAAGTGCACAGGCTTTCACTTGACATTCAAGACTCCTTTTTTCTTTGTCTAGCTGTTTAAGTAAGGTTTGCAAGGACTCCACTGACATTCGCTCATAGACACGAATAGAAGATAGTCTATCCGAAGGATTTACTTGGATTTTTTCCATTTTCTCTCTGAGAGCAGTAATTTGCTCTTGCAGTTGTTTATTTATCTCGAGTTGATTCTCATAACGGTGTTTCCATTCACCACTGTCATTGTCATCATTGAACTTGCCTTCCAGTTCCTCTATCTGTTGTTTTAGTTCAACTATTGAAATCTTTACCAAGTCTCTCATATGACGTTCTTCCAGGAACTCCAGTGTAAGGCGGTCAGTGCTCATACCTTCATAGTTTTCCTCTCCTCCATAGGCCATAGTGTCTAATCAGAGGTCTTTCACACCCTTCCCTTCACACAGATTAGAGAAGAAGACCTGAAGGGACACCCAGAAGCTGAGAAGAAGAAAGTGTTGTTTAGAACTGTTGCCATGGAGAACCGGCTTCTAGAATTTTTGATTGTTTGCCTCATAACTTTGAATATGTCATGACACCACTTTCTTGATGGTATGGCTTCTAATGAGAAGTCAACTGCTAGTCTTATTATGTTCACTTGGTTTGTGAAACATCCTCTTCCTTTTGCTGTTTTCAAGTTTTTCTCCATAGGTTTCAACAATCTGACTCTGATCTTTCTATCTGTAAATATCTTTGACTCTGTTCTATTTGGAATACATTGAATTTCTTGGATGTGTTGATTAAAGTTTTTTCACCAAATTTGAGATGTTTTCACCCATTATTTCTTCAAATACTTGTTATATTCTTTTTCTCCTCTCCTCTTTTGAAACTTGCATTACGCATATGTTGTGTCTCACAAGCCTATGAAGTTCCTGAGTTTTCTTCAATCATTTTGTATTCTGGTTTTTACACTGGATAATCTCTATTGATCTGTCCTTAAGTTTGCTGATTCTTTCTTTCTTTTTTTTTTAAAGATTTATTTACTTATGCATACAAGAACTGGGGTATAGGCTAGAGGTGTGGGAGATTCGGTTCCTGGTGACAGCTCTCCTCCTGGCTTGCAGGTGGGTCTTTCCTCTGTGACATGGAGAGAGAGAAGGGGTAGGGAGGAAAGGGAAAAAGAAGTGGAGTGGGGGAGGAGAAGGGAGGGAGAGGGAGATCTGGTGTTTCTTCCTCTTATAAGGCCATCAGTCCTATCAGATTAAGGTCCTGTTCTTAAGACCTCACTTAACCTTCACTACCTCCTTCTAGGCTCTTCTCCAGTGGCATTGGGGGTTAGGCCTTCTACAGATGAATGGGAGGTGGCACAATTCACTCTGTAAATTCTGAAACAGACTGTTTTATAATTTGGTAAGTTAACAGGTTATGAGAGATATATGTGGAGAACATGCCTCTACCTACCTACATACAAGTATTTAGAACTGCCAAGAGATGAAGCAAGCAGCTTGTGTTGGAATTGGTGGGGGTGGCACGTCAGATGCATTTGGAGAAATGGGGAGAAGGTCTAGGGGAAAGTGGGAAAATCAGCTAGTGGAGTAGGAAGAAGGAACAGCGGCACCCTATACTGAAGGTCTTTAATCAGAGTATTGGGTAGCTTTTAGACTTGCATCAAAGCAAACAAAATTCCACAAGGCTGAATAGGTGGCTTTGAATTCCCACCCCTCTTAATTAATACCCAATGGGGCAAGGCCCTGCCTGGCAGACTGGAAGAACATTGGCCTAACCTGTCCCCTCCTGATTGCAGGCTCAAAGGAGAATGGCAACTCTGTCCCTTTAGCTCACTCTCTACAGTATTTTGGGCAAAGAAGCATTTAAATGCTTTTAAAAAAGATTTATTTATGCATACAAGAGCTGGGGTACAGACCAGAGGTGTAGGGGGGTGGGGGCGGGTAACAGGATTCACCAGAGACAGAGTGGGGAACAGAACATGCAGACTGACTGATATATACTGCTGAGGGGAGCCGCGGGCAATACAGGAGAGGTCTGCTGTGCCATGTGGGTAGCTCCCTGCCCGGCCGGCATCGAACTGGCCTTGCAGAGGCTGAGGACAGCTTCACAGCGCTCGCTCAACCGCCTGCGCCACCAGGGAAGACCTCGGATTGTTATATATTCTTGACGAACTAACTCTTTTATCCTTCTGAAATGACCCTCTTTATCTCTAATCACTGATAATCGTCATTGGCTTGCAATGTACTGTGACTGCGCCTTCTAGTACTGGAGCTGTACCATCTGTGTTATGCTTAGTATTTACATGGGATCTATTTCACCCTTTTACTTTAAACCTATCTGTTTTTATATTTAAAGTATGTTTCTTATAAACATCATATAGTTTGAGTCTTGCCTATTAAAAATTATGACAGTCCTTGCCTTTTAATTATTATTTATAGTTAATATAATTATTAATAAAGTTAAGTTTGTCATCTTGTTCTTTGTTTCCTGTTTGCCCTCTCTTTGTTTTCTTCCTTTCTTATCTTCTTTTGGATTAATAAATTATATTTTCATATTCCATTCTAGCTGGTCTTAGCTATAATTGGTATAACAATATAATACAACTAATTGGCTTTAGCTATAACTCTTCGTGTATATTTTTATTGGTTTCTATATAGATTACAATTGGTATCCTTCCTCTTACAAAGTGAGCAGTTAGGTGAAACTACCTATGGTTGATCAAATAAGAAATGTTTATGCATACAGCCATTAGACGAAACAAAATATGTTAAACTATATTGGGAAGGAGGGATGGAAGTTGGGAGTGGTAGAAATGAGTTTCATACTCATGTATCATAGCATTACTTAGATAATGTAAAAGAAGAAATATAGAGGAGCGGACACATTTGAAGAATTTTGAGGGGGTAAAATGTGAAGGGCTTGGTTGTCCTCCCCGGTAGCGCAGCGGTTGAGCGCTGGGTTGCGAAGCTGCCCGAGGCCTCTGAGGCGCCGTTTCGAACCCCGGCTGCTCCCCGGCCACCAGAGGAGGGTCCCACATGGTGTGCAGACCTCTCCTGCCGCCCGCTGCTCCCCTCAGCAGTGTACTTTGGTCCTTCTGCCTGCTCTGCTCCCCGCTCTGGCTCTGGTGAATTCTCTCACCCTCCCGTGCTTCTGACTGTACCCAGTGCATGTATAAACAAACAAACAAATAAATAAAACATGCCTCTATTAAAAAAAAACTTTTAATAAAAAAAAATGTGAAGGGCTTGGTGATTGATTGAACATGGTAAACAAGGGAAAGGGGAGAGGCAAAGATGATTCACAGATTTCCAGCTTGAGTGACTGGGTGGATGTGGCATCACCACTGAGGTCAAGAATATGGAAGAGTATCTAGTTTAAGCAAGAAGATGATAGATTCTGTTGTAGTTGAATGTGGTACATTGTAGTCATGATGTCGAGTAGGTATGCCCACAAGTGGACAAAGGTTCTGACCTCAATAAAATAAAAAATGAGAAATTAACAATAAAATCATAGCAAAAATATCAGGTCACTTGGAAATTTAAAAAGATTCATCTGAAAATTCTTGGCTTAAGTGGAAATGAAACAAAGTATAGATTATTTATAAATAAATGATCATTATTGCAAAAAGAAGAAAGAGAACCCATGCTGATGTTGTTATAGATGAATATCTTTTCCTGGTAGGATTTTGCTTTACCTAGAATGTTTGTGGCCCCTGAAATTCATATGCTGAAACCTAGGCCCCAGGGTGATGATATTAGGAGATGGAGCCTTTGGGGAGTGATTAGGTCGTGGGAGTGGAGCCTTATGAATATGCTTAGTGTCCTTATGAAAGACACCCTAGAGAGCTCCCTTGCACCTTCTGCCATGCTGAGTACTCAGTGAAAAGACGATTGCCATGTCTGCAGCAGGTTGTCGCCTCACACTGAATATGCTGGTGACAGGATCTTGGACTTCCCAGATACTTGTTTACAAAGCATCTAGTTTATGGTGTTTTGTTATAGCAGCACACATGGACTAAGACAACCTCATTGCTAATTACAGCCAGGATTCTGGTATATGGAGCTGGCAGATGAGATAAGCCCTACTACTTCTGTGGTGCTAAGTGGGGCCTGCATTGGGCTGCTGTGCCATGCATTTCCTCTTGCCCTGTATTCATTTATAACCTTCAACAAAAGTTCCCTCCCCCAACACCTTGATATAAATGGGTTTTATACTCTAATGGAAGTTGGGAAGTTGATATGATCAAACTATGGTATTCCAATGTTTCCATAGTAACTAATGCACACCTAGTGGGGGATGATGGAGAATAAATGAGAATAGCAATTTAACAAAATAAGTGAGGGGCGAAAAGCCTTTAGACAAGTGATTACCTCTTGCTTAGGAATATAAAGATATTCATCTCCTTAATAATGGGATGATAAAGGTTGTTACAATGAGACTTGTCAGTTGACATTTATATTTTACTTTTCTCTATAATCACAATCATCAAAAGCATTTAGGGGCCTCCCTGGTGGTGCAAGGGGTTAAGCACCACACTATGAAGCAATGTGCAGCCTCTGCAGCATGAGTTCAATCCCCGGCTTGCCAGGGAGCAACCCACATGGCGCAGCAGACCTCTCCTGTATCGCCCGTGGCTCCCCTCAGCAGTGTATATCAGTCAGGAGCGCAGAAGGGTGAGTGAGTGAATTCACCCAAGCCAGAGCCAGAGCGGGGAACAGAACAGGCAGACTGAAGAAATACACTGCTGAGGGGAGCTGTGGGTGTGGCAGGAGAGGCCTGCTCGCCATGTGGGACCCTCGCCAGCAGCCGGGGATCCAACTGGTGCTGCAGAGGCTTAGGGCAGCCCAGCGCTCAACCGCTGCACCACCAGGGGAGGCCCCCCCACTCCACTTCTTTTTCCCTTTCTCTCTTCCATGTCACAGAGGAAAGACCCACCTGCAAGCCAGGAGGAGAGCTGTCACCAGGAACCAAATCTGCCAGCACCTTGATCTAGGACTTCTAGCTTCAGAACTAAGAGAAAATAAATGCTTATTGCTTAAGCCACCATGAATGGTATTTTGTTATGGCAGCTTGAGCAGACCAATCTATCAGTGTACGTGCAGAGCCAATTAAACTGTTGTCAGATAACAACAGACCTTGTAAGGGTGAAGCAATGACATTTTTATTTTAGAAAAATAGAGATTAAATTTCTACAGAATATAAAATTCAACCAATTTAAATATAAAATTCAACCCAGAACAGATACACAGAGAGTAGAGGGATGGTTGTATAGTGGATGGCTTCAGGTAGGTAGATAGACTGGTTTAGCTCATTTTCAGCTTAACCTGATTCCTTCTCCATTTAGAGAGGATTTAAGAAATACATTCTTCTTCTTTTTTAAACATACCCACATCACCTTTTGAAAATTAGTCCTCAGCTTACCTTCTGTGCAAATGAATTAAGATTTTAGAAGCCAGATGTGACGGGAGGTGCAGGTAAGGTAAAGCTCATCAATAGGAATTAAAGTCAATTTCCCGGAGT